AGCGTCCCATGAACATCGTGAATAAAGCACCAACCGGCACCCCACACACACACACTCTTCGAGTTGTGTATAGCGAACATGACAAAACATACATACAGCATAATCAATACCTTACCCTCCCCGAACCACATAAACAAACGAACTACCGGCTGCGCACCCGTGCCCTCACGGTAAGTCAATATGTGTGTGAGAGCGATAATTGACCATCACGTGTGTGTGTGTGTGTTGGGGGGGGGGGGGGGGGGTGGCTTGTGTGAGAATGCTGAGCATAGACACTGCTGTTACTCGATGAGGCTGGGCCAAGTAGATGGGAGGCCCAGATACCGGCAAAATGCTTGGTCTTTGCATTAGCTGATCCCCCCACCGGCAGCCCCACCCTGCTCCCTAACCACCACGGATTAGGGTGGGAGGCACGATGTATCCCCTTGATTCTGAAAAATAGCTATGCTTGCAGGGGTCCCCTGCTCGCAGCCCGTCAGGGTTGCGTTTTATACCCCTGAGAGAATTTTTTGTCATTTGGTCATACCGGTCATCTGTTCGGGTCCAAACAGTAGTTGGAAGGTTCGTGAATTTGCTGGGGGTGCAATTCATGGGGAATGGGTAGTTGTTGCTTGACGAGGACCGGTAGCTGCCTGTACGAGGCCGAGGAGGCCGCCGTCCTTGAGTTCAACATTTCAAAATAGAAACGGCTTCGGTAGAGCGTGTTATATTCGAATAAGCCATGTGCGCGTCGTATTCAAATAAACCGTTGTATTCGAATATACCGTCTTGTATTCGAAGTGTATTCGAATAAGCCGTGTGCAAGTACTCAAATAAACCGCGTACGTGTTGTACTGGAATCCAACATTAATCTTTCTTTTCTTTTTTCCCGAGGTTAGCACCTGCGCATGTGCTCCTTGCCACTTACATGGTGCATGCTGCAATACTCTCTCTCTCTCTCTCTCTCTCTCTCTCTCTCTCACACACACACACACACACACACACAGAGGTAACATGGCCAGTTGTTTGGCTCTACTTTTAGGCAGTTCCCTGGCGTTCATATCCGTCGGTTCGCTTTTGCTATCCTGTCGGAGCATCTGTCCGAGTTCGCTGTTTGCCTTGGCTTCTAGTTTTCAGTTTTTAACGACCGAAGCGAAGACACGACCGCGTGTCTGTGTGACGGCCGGAAGAGCTGGTCGGAACTTTGGGGGGTGTCGGTGTGTCCCTGGCTACAGTGTTTTTGTCAGAACACAAATTCGAAAGAAAAAAACGCGTTCTCTTTTGCATCTTCATGCAGCAGCGTGTTAGATTCATCTTTCATCTCCGGCCGTCGATGTTTTTGAGGCGGTCAAGCATCGAGATAGACGGACGCCGTTCCGGAAAAATCCGATCCGAGTCTATCCTATACGTTCCGGAATGCACCACGGCGCGTCATTACAGATGGAGATTTCCTGTGTGCACGAGGTCTCATTGGCCGCCAATGTGCGGGCAGGAAAGTTGCAAGTGTGAATGAATATGCCCTCACGGCGGCACTTCCCAGCGGCGGGTTGTTAGGGGCGCAAGAGTAACGCGCCGGCTCCCGCTCGTGCTTGTGCATCCGCGCGCCGCCTGTCTGTGCACCACACCACTTGCCTGTTTCGCCCAAACTGGGTGTCTTCCCGCCTGCCGAGACATCTGGCTGTGGTGGTGTCGATAAGAGCTGGTTCGCACTTGTGGAAAGGTACGAGGCGGTAGCGGAAGTTTCCCAGAGGAGGCGATATGGGGGAGATGGCCTTTCGTATGTGCGGCTGACATCTTCCGTTTGCGGGTGGCGATCCGTCTTGATTGTCAAAGAGCCGGAGAGACCAGCAGACCAGACACACTGTCACCTCCTGACTGCGCGTTCCTTGGCGGTTTATTTTATCGTCACCTTCGCACAGTCGAGGCTTCGACGATAAGAGCTACTATTGACACCATGCACACCATGCACACTTGACGCTCTCGCCTTCACCAAGGCCAGGTGGGCGCGCGAGGGGTTGGATCTGGAATACCTGTCGGCGTTGCTCGATGGTTCTCTGCGTGCTGCTGTTGAGGACATGCCTTCTTGGGAAAGGTCGAACGCCCCCGTGTCGACCTCTGCTTGGGTTCCCTTAGAGGCAACGTCCGCCAATGCGCTCGCCTTTCGACGAACAAGGTGAGGCCTAGCGCCAACAGCAGCGGTATGAGCAGCAGCAACAGCAGCAGCAGGAGGGGCTCACGTTTCACAGTATTGTAGTCATGCGTAAATAGTAGGTAAGTTTGAGTATCAGATGTCGTTAGCCACCTGAGAGCATCTCTTTATTGCGCTTACCTTCGGATAAGTTGGTATGCGCTTTGGTATGCGCTTTGGAGGAGCATACGCATGGGCGGAGATATCAACCTTTACGGTTGAATTGGAATTGCAATCGCGAGATCTTCCCATGCCATGTTTTCTGGTTCTGAGTGTACGCTAGTAATATGTTGTTATTGGCAACCAAGCGACCAAGTGTTTTCTCTTGATTGGTAGGAGAGAGGTAGAGGCTGTAATATGCTGTCCTCGTACACACCGAACAACGAAACTCTTGCTCTCGAGTGATAGAAGAGAGGTAGTAGATTTTTCCTGGGGAAAAAAAGGTAATTGCAGAGGAGTAGGTATCGTAGAAGCCGAGGTTTAGAGGGAGGGGAAGGTTGAGTGCAGGGAAAATGTGGGTTCAAGTGTTGTTCTGAGGTAGAGGTTGTCATATGCTGTCCTTGTCCCCACCGAACAACGAAACTCTTGCTGTGGAGTGATAGAAGAGAGGCAGTAGATTTTTCCTGGGAGGGGAAGAAGGTTGAGTGCAGGAAAAATGTGGGTTCAAGTGTTGTTCTTCGCTCGTACGAAGGAGCTGGCGGGGAAGAGTCATGTCAAACTCCAGTTGGAAGACGGAACGGACACGGCCAAGCTGCTTCAGATACTCTGCACGAGGTTCCCAACGCTCAAGGAGATGCTGCCTTTCGTGACGGTTGCCGTGAATTTTGAGTATGTGTTCTGCCCGAAACGTCTCCGCAACGGAGATGAGGTGGCCATCATGCCGCCCATCGGAGGGGGCTGAGGATCCGCCCGGTGCGCGCGCTGCGTGCGTGTCACGGGGAGAAGTCTTTGGATTTCGCAGGGCACTCTGTGCGTGCGTTGGCTAACGGTGCTTCCCATGACAAGATCGTCAAGGTGTTGCAAGGCTCTGCGCGTGTGGACACTGGGAAATCGAATGTATAGCCCTCTCCCTCTTTTCCTTCGCTGTGAAATAGAGTAGTTGGTCACGTCTTCCCCCGAGTACAACGCAGCCTGATTTTGACTGTATAAAAGATGTCTTTCCGATCGCATACGGTCGTGATAACGGTGCGCTGTGTTCGGGTGAAGTAGGTAGTTGGTGAGGTGAGCACTGGTATGCGTTGTATTCGAAGATCGTGAGGAGGGTGCGCTCTGTTCGGGTGAAGCAGGTAGTTGGTGAGCACTGGTATTCGTTGTATTCGAGGATCGGATCTGGTCTGTCCCAATGAACGCCTCTGACAGCTACGCGGCCAAAGTTGGTGTTTGTGATTGCGAAGCCCAATGACTTCGTCGACTGTGTGTATGGTTTCGTGGTCACAATCGCGGCGACATTCAGTATGTTGCCTGGTTAGGCTCTCTGCCATTTCACCCCAGGAAAAACGTCTGTCCCGTCCTTGTCTTCCCTCGTGCTGGCTCTAGCTTCTTCCCCCGAATAGAACGTACGGTCATTATAGCTGTATTTGAGGCATCTTTCAGTCTAGATACAGCTATAATGACCGTACGTTCTATTCGGGGGAAGAAGGTAGCGTTCAACGGTGTTCCTCGTCTGCTGGAGACACTTGGTCGACAAGAAGCAGGACTACAATGGTGGTGCTCTCGCATCCGATCGTGGGAAGTAGGCGCCTCGACCATGACGACGAATACACTGCTGCTGTTTCGCTGCTGCGATAAGTGAGGAGTCCCAAGAATAGAAGGCAGGAATGTGTGTATGTATTCTAACTGCCGCCAGCTTAGCTTATTAGGGACAGAGGAGGCTCTCTCTCTCGTTAACTGCGCTTATGGCACGTCTAAGATGTCGTTCTTTGCCATCGCTTGCTTAGGGTGGAGATGGGTGTATATGTTAAACACTTCTGTCTTGTTATTCCGGATGCTGCCTTTGCAATGTTTGCATAACAATAGTGTCCTTCTCAATTCCCCTTGTTAGAACTTATGTTACTGGCAATGGTTTGCATCACTACGGTAGAGTCGCAGTCCCTTTCTCATGAAACGCCGGTTGTGGAAACTAGTTCTGGGGGACAGTGGCCTCTGTTTCTGGATTTCATATAGCGTAGCCGAAATGCATGTGGGTTTGATGAAGGGGGTTGGTTAAGTGATTAACGTTGCCGCCGAGATGTGTGTGGGCGCTCAACGAAGGGGGTTGGCAAGGTGATTAGCATTGCCGCCGAGATGTCTGTGGGCGCTCAACGAAGAGGTGGTGGTCAGGTGAGGTCTGCGCTGTAAGTTTGGTCTCCGAGTCGAGATTTATATCCGTACGTACGGCAGGTGCATCTTTGTTTCCACTCCCGGACTGCTTTCTATCTCACTTATAGGTATAGACACGCACAGATCAGCGTCCCCCTCGCCTGGCATCCCTCCTCCCTTTCTTGGTGGCGATCGGCGGAGTCGACTCGTTCACACGTACCAACACGCACGCATCGGCGTCTTCGTTGCCTGTCATGCCTGTGCTTTCTCTTTGCTTAGACCCGCGAATGACTGGAGTACACATATTAGAGCGCTCATAGCGAGGGAGGGATGTCTAGTATGCGCACACAGAACCTAAGGCAAACTCCAAAGGCACGGATCAATTGAGAGAGAGAGAGAGAGCACTTGAGCGCGAGGTAGTGACGAGCTGAAGGTTGGTGCTCGCAGCGGATGCAGTGTCGTATGCCTTTCGTTTGGCAGGGGATGCACGGTCGGGGTGGCCGATGCATAAAATCCGTCGGTCTCGATGGACGTCTCATCCGTCCTTTGACGGGTGGCACGTCGATGCCCAGATCCGAGATGGATCCCATTGTCCAACGATTGTGCGGGGGCGAGGACAGATCCGAGATGAGGATTCGTAGATCGCAGAGGCCACACTTACGAAACAAACGATGTGGGTGAAACCAAATCAATTTCTCGGACCGTTTTTGACTGAGGACAGATGCGAGTTAACAATTTGCTTTCCTCGTTAGTCTAGACGGCTCTTTGAAGGTAGCATTGACGATTAGAATAACACTGCTGAAATCGCACATAGGACGGGGACAATTTCGCAGTGCGCACGCGCACACCCCCGCACACACACGCATACAAACGCACAAACACACACACAGACACGCACACACACACACACACACACACACACACACACACACACACAGAGAGAGAGAGGTTTCTGTGGCTGACCTAAACTTGGAGGTGGAATGGCGGATTGAATAGATCTGGTTGTGAGAGGTCCGGAGCTCTCTTTGTACGACAGTCCGCCCATCAGGCGGGTTTTGTTTGTCGGAATGAATGTATAGTTGACTTATTCATGCCGTCTTCTCAGGAACTTTTCGGTTTTCTCCTTGACTGAGTATTGAGGTAAGTTGCTTCACTGTTGCGGTCCCCGTCGCTATGAATTTTCTTGCGTTTTTCATCTCGTCTCTTGTCACCACACACACACACACACACCCACACACACACACACACACGCACACACACACACACACAGAGAGAGAGAGAGAGACGAGTATGTGGCAGTGTGTGCGTATATGTATGTGTGAGAGGGAAGGAAACGGTAGAGAGCAAGGGAGCGACTCTGTGTGTACGTGCATCTGTGTGTGTGTGTGTGTGTGTGTGTGTGTGTGTGTGTGTGTGTGTGTGTGTGTGCGTTCCAGAGATGGGAATGGGAAGGGGTTGTCGTGGTGCGGTGAGGGGCCGGGGAGAGGTGGTTGGGGGCCTGACAAGTTGTATGTGCTGTTTTGTTCAAACGGTCCTCATTGAGTGATGTAACGTGCAAACAACAGGCAACAGGCGAAGGACCAGTTGTTCAGTAGAGTTATATTGGTCATTGAAACATTTTTTTTTTTTTTTTGAAAAAAAAGGTCATTGAAACTGATGTTTAGTCGACAGCAAAACACCAGAAAGTAAAAGTAGAATCAGCTCCTGAGTGCGTCAGAAGCTTCATGTTGTCCTTCGAAGTGTAGGTACATTGCTGTGACCATGGTACTGGCTGCCTTCTAGCGGCCCGTCCTGGTGGCGATGTTATTATCGCCTTCTTCATTCTCGTAGTGCTGCTGCAAAGATCTGGTTTTCTTTTCACTTAGGAAGGGGAGGAGCGCGGCAAATGAAGCTTTTTCCTTATCCCCTTTCACTTAGGAAGGGAAGGACCATTTGCCGCGCTCTAAGGAAAAGGGTAGACCATTTGCCGCGCTCTAAGGAAGGGAAGGTCTTCTTTCTTTCGCTTTTTCCTTTTCCTTATCCCCTTTCTAAGGAAAAGGAAAAAGCGAAAGAAAGAACGTAGAGATCAACCGAGCAGAAAGCTTCGGTCTTCATTTACGAACGATTCTGTGTGTGTTTCTGTCTTTCTGTCTTTCTGTCCTTCTTTCTGTCTTTCTGTCTTTCTGTCTGTCTCCCCTCCACCTCCCCCGCCCCCCGCTTCGGCCCCCGCCCTGTGTCCGAATCATTGTCCCGCGCCCGCTTGTGTTTGTACGAGTCGATGAAAATAATCGAAACGTCCACTACTCACCAAATGTGCAAAATGAAAACGAATCTTCCGCTAGGACACAGCCAGATACAACGCCATATGTTTTGTCTTTTGTGCATGTGGTGAGTAGTGGAGCGAGGCGCAAAGGGTGACTAACCCCGATGGTCTCCTTGGTACATCTGTTTACCTTGGGGACAGCCATAGTGTTGATGACAACGTTGAAGAAGCCCTTGCGTAAGGAGTGAAATGTTGTTAGACCCTTTATTGGATGTCGTTTTTCGAAATACGAATATCGGGCTGATGTAGATATCCGGATACAGTGACTTCTCTATGCATACATCGTCACGGTGATGATGCCAGGACATTTGCTTGCCTGTCATCTTCTGAGGACCTATACCTGCGGTTTATGTCCCCAGGAGGGCCAGGACCTGTTGCTTCTAACCTATGCCGGCCGGCCACGTCCTGTGCACGACGATGGATTTAGTGCGCGTTTCTCTCGGTCTGTGAAGTTTTCATGACAGGGCCCGAGGGCCAACAGCACGCGGTTTTGTACGCTTGTCTAGTCCCGACTCACGAGCAGCTGAAGTTGGGCTGCACTCAGCGAAGTTTCTCTGAGTCTCGCTATGGTATTTAGCCACAGAAGAGTCACCTCGTTTCATGAGCGTGCGTGAATGCCGCGAGGAAGACGGCTTTCCATCATCTGTGATGTGTCAGGGTGGTAAATGAATCATGATGCTCCCCATGATCACACAGCGGCTTCGTTACCTTCGTGTTTGCGTGCGTGCATGCGGGAGAGGGAGAGTGCGTGCGTGTGTGTGTGTGTGTGTGTGT